ATAACCATATAGGGCAATCTCACATTTTGCTAAAGAATTCATTCTCTTGGGGCTAGTAAGTGAAATCCTCCAGATCTCAGTTGACTCACTGGCTGAACTCAAGGGCAAGCCATCGCTGTAACAGGTTCCCTGGCACTTGTGGTTCAGCCAGATCTGCTGTCTGTGCACGAACGTGTAGCTGCTTAACTAGAACTCACACAGTGTCAAGAGGCAACTAGTAGAGAAAGAGGCCCAGGAAATCATAGGCATGAGAGAAGAGCAGCTGAGCAGATTATACAAAGCTCTATGCTAGGGTATCCCTTGGACTCCAGCCCTGGAGCTCTCTAGCAAAGAACACTAAGGATCTCACCAAACTACAAATTAGAGAAAGAGGCCCAGGAAATCATAGGCATTAGAGAAGAGCAGCTGAGCAGATTATAGAAAGCTCTAGGCTAGGGTATCCCTTGGACCAGTGGTCTCCAACCTTGGGTCTCCAGATGTTCTTGGACTACAACTCCCAGAAGCCTTTACTACCACCTCTGCTGGCTAAGATTTCTGGGAGTTGAAGTCCAAGAACATCTGGAGGCCCAAGGTTGGGGACCACTGCCTTGGACTACAGCCCTGGAGCTCTCTAGCAAAGAACACCAAGGATCTCACCAAACTACAAATCCCAGGATTCCACAGGACATGGCCCTGGTATTCAAAGAGGATTCAAGCTGCTATAACTGTGAAGTGCAGGTACTGTATGCTCCTGATTGTGAGCATGAATCCAAGAACATCTGGAGGCCCAAGGTTGGGGACCACTGCCTTGGACTACAGCCCTGGAGCTCTCTAGCAAAGAACACCAAGGATCTCACCAAACTACAAATCCCAGGATTCCACAGGACATGGCCCTGGTATTCAAAGAGGATTCAAGCTGCTATAACTGTGAAGTGCAGGTATGCTCCTGATTGTGAGCGTGGACATAATTATTCATGAGAGTTTATCACTCTTCCCATCCAACCCTATTCTGTTATTATCCTCTCTGTTATCTCCCATCATGTTCTCTCTTTCTCTCCTTTTCCCCTCTTCCTTCTTCACTCCACCCCATTTCCCTCTCTTGTAGCAGAATTGTGCAGATAATAAACCAAAATCAAAAGCCCTACCGGCATTCCTCATGGGCTCAAGCTACAGGACGACAGATTTAGACTGAGTATCATGAAAAACTTCTTAACTGTTAGAGCAGTACGACAATGGAACCAATAACATTGGGAGCTGGTGAGAACTCCAAACGTGGAGACAATCAAAATAAACGTAGACAACCACCTGGCAGTTCTACTTTAATTTGGATTCCTACATTGACCGTGGGGGTGTGTGGACTTCAATGACTTTATAAGCCCCTTCCAACTCAAATATTCCATGATTCCATTATTATTATTTGTTGATAGAACTGTGAGCCTGCTTGACAGATCACCATAGGGAAACATTGAAAGTCTCTGTCCCAAGATGCATATAGCCTTGGAAAAGAGAGGATGCAGGAAAACCACAGAGCAATGGGTCTAAAAATTTGACTTCCCAGTGCCTTGGTACTACAACCACCATCATCACCAGTTAACATGACAAGTGACTGGGATTCTGGGAGTTTTAGTCTAACGACGTTCTGTGGGAACAAACTACAGTAAGTGCGGCAGAAAGGAATAGCAAGAGAGTCATGGGCAGGAAGAAGCAGTAGTGAGGAAACTGAATACAGTTGAGTAGCCTCAGGCAGCTGTCTTTCAGCCGGGAATGTGGAGTGACTGTTGAGCCAGAAGCATCTTTGGAAAATACTTTTTATTCATGGGGAGAATTTGAAGGAAGAGAATGTGTTGTGAGAAGTGTTTCCAGGTGAGAGGAAGTGAAGGGTAGTGGGCAGAGTTCTTCAAAAGAGCAATAGGGCCAAGAAGCACTGGATGATGACTGATTTGACCCTCACTGGAGTGAGGTAGTTTAAGACCTGAGCCCACAGAATGAGGCTGGAAGAGAAGAGGGCCAGAGAAATTTAAAGAGTGTTTCTCCTTGCAAGAGAAAATTCCCCTCTACTGAATTCAGAACATAGTTTTGGCAGAACAAACAATACAGCAGCTGCCAAATAGCTAGGGGTGTGTGTGAAAAAATGTGACAAGAGACAGGGATAAGAATACCCCACCTTGGGTGGGGTTTGTTTCCCTGTTATTACCCTCAAATAGTAACAGAATGGTGTTGGGTTGCATTGCAAGGAACATCACAGGATGTGACCTCCATCATCTTAGTTTTCATTCGTTACAAACTGGGGTTCAGCTTTGCCTTTCGGGGCCCACACCTAAGAGATCATCCAAAGTATTTAAAGGTTCACAGGATTTTAGGCATAAACTCTGGATTTTCTAATCTGTAATAACTATCATACTCCCAGTTCTACATCGTCCTTCCCTGTCCTGGTGCTTTCAGAGATGTTAGACTACAAACTACGTCGTCCCCAGCCAGGATGACACTTGTAGTCTAACTCACCTGGAGACCATTTGGCTAGAATAAATCACTCTATAAATCTTCCTAACTTTGGGTTTCCCAGCTGTCATTGGATTGCAACTCCCAGAATTCTTTGCAAGCACAGCCAGTGGTGAAGGCTTCTGGGAGTTGCAGTCCAAGAATGTCTCAGGAGCCAAGGTTGAGAACCATTGCTCTACAGAAGTCCTCAACCTTTCACTGTTAAGATGTTTGGCTTTCAGCTCCCAGAATCCTTCATAGTTGGGGCTTCTAAGAAGGGGCAGATGAAAGACCCTCACCCCCACTTTGGATACAGACGATGCCTGACCCACCCTGTACCCTTTCAGTGACATTCTGACTTCCCCAGGCCCATGACATGGTGTTCACCTTTGCAGATCTGTTTCAAAAGCAAACAAGTGAACAAACAAACAAAAACAAAAAAGTCCTTTGCTGCACATGGTGCAAACACAAACTGCTGAGACCTGGTGACACTACTCACTCAAAGCCCACACAACAATAATCTTTCCACAATCGCAGATACACTCAGATCCTAATAGTATAATAATATTACACTGACGTTTGGTAAACTGAGCTGATCACAAGATCTCAGGGCGGGTAACTGAGCCCTCTAAAGCTATTTAAAAACATGAAATCCTTAAACACTTTGAAACACATAAAATCAAAACATTAAATCCATTGCATTAACACACCTGCACAGGCCAACATACCCAGCCCTCAAAAGCTCTTAAGAAATACACATGTTTTGAGTCGGCTCTGAAATGATGCCAACTGAGTCTCCAAGGGAGGGCATTTCATTAGGCGTAGTGCTCTAGCCAAGGAAACCCTCTCCCACATCTTCACGTAATGAACCATTCTCAGTCGTGGGACACAGGAGAGGGCCTCTCCAGCAGATCCTAGCCCTTGGGCAGGTTTATATAGGCAGAGGCACTCCTTCAGATATCCAGGTCCCAAAGTCATGTAGGGCTTTGTAAGGCATCATCAACACCTTGAACTCAGACCAGAAGCATACTGGCCGTTTGTGCAAATCCTTCAGAACAAATGTCATGTGGGCTTTGAAAGATGTTCCTGTTAGCAGTTTAATTGCTGCCTACTGCCTTTGCTGCAGCACCTGTGTCATCTTCAAGGGTAGCCCCACACAGAGTGCATTGCAGTATTCTATCCAGGAGGTTACCAGGGCACAAACCTGGCCATGGTATTTGGGAAGCTAAGGTCCAAACATCTCAATGACCAAAAGCTGAGAGCTGCTGATTTTAGACTAACTTCCAACTCCTCCTAATCTATTGCTGAAAAAAAAAAGATGCTTTGTTGCCTTCCGTGCATTTGATTCATTTGCTTTGCAACAGCTCCGTCTTCCACAGATTTCAAAGCCCAGTCAACCATGGCTTCTTTGGTAAATCTAATTGTGGCCGGGATGGGTGGGGTGAGGGGACTACAAACTTCAGCTGCAATGTGTGTCACTGAAAGGTGTGTGCTGCACACCATGTCTTAGCCATTGCGTACGCAAAAATTGGTGGAGGATCTGTGTCTCTCCACTTGCTGTTAGACTCCAATTCCCATCAGTCCCAGATAGCAGGATGAATGAAAATTATGAGAATCATGTTGCAACAATATCTAGATCCAGCATGAATACCCTTTATGAGGCCGGTGGTCAAATTTTCTGAGCCTGCATCTACTGCAGTCAGGCTCAGAAATGCCCCCCCCCCCAAAAAAAAGAAACAGGGGAGAGGAGAGAGAAACCACAGGTGCCCACTCCCAATTTTTATTGTCTTCAGGGGGCAGATGGGTTTGGGGAGGCTATGGTCCTCCATACGAATACAATTGCTCCAAGGGACATCCAAGAGGGGAGGACCTTTAAGAGTTAAAGAAAATTCTGTCCAGAGGGCTTTCAGAGGGGAGCTTTATGGGGATCTGGAAGCCACCCAAACAGCCTTGAGAACACACGTGGGCCACAGACATCCATCGCCTACCCAAATGTAGATGTGCCCCATACTGGAATTAAGAGACATTTCCAGTGTGGAGCTGATTCCACACAACGTGACTATTTAGGACTGTGATTAGTAAAGCCAGTAAGCTATTCGAGGGAACCTGGGAATCCACCCCAAAAAGAAACTTGTCAAATATTTGGGACAGATCTTCAAAGCTCAAGGAGAAGAGAGAAGGTAGAACCCAGCACTGGGAAGGAGGGGGACCAGCTGTAGCCCCCCTCACTTCTTTTCCTCCCCTTTTCCTTCCTCCTTAATAGCAGCTACAACTTAACAGGCTGCAAAATCTTTCCAAGAGCTCAAATAAAACAAAACAAAAATACTTCTCCTGTGCCCTCCCCCGGAGGCCATTCCTCCCATAGATTGGCAGGGGAAGGCAATGTTTTCAGAGTGGAAGAACTGGCTGCTTACGCAAGATCTGTTTACCTGCCGCTGGAAGGATGCTCCTCCTTGGCCCCTCCTTTTCTCCTCCTGGTCGCACCTCCAGCCCCTCCTATAAAAGAGGAGAAACCTGGCTCCGCTGGCAGTCCAGCCCACAATATGCAGCACCTCGCACCCATGCCTGCTGTGGAAGGCAAAGGGCTGGTGGCAGAGCTGCAGAGAGCTGCCATCTGCCCTGCCTGCAGGGGCCACTTTAAGGACCCAGTGACCCTGGACTGCGACCACAGCTACTGCCGGGCCTGTATCACCCGCCACTGGGAAGAAGCCGCTTTAGCTGGGAAGGGCCCCCGGGTGCTGTCTTGTCCTCAGTGCAAAAAGGTTTTTGAGAGGAAGAACCTTCGGACCAACGTCAAGCTGGCCGTGGAGGTCAAGATTACCCAACACCTCAACGCAAAGACGGCAGAGGCACCCTTTGCTCCGAAGCCCAGGAGGCGCCGAGGAGGGTGGGTCGGCATCCCGAAGGAAAAGGTAATGCCATTTGGGGGGGGGTCAGGTTTGAAGGGGGAGCAGCGGCTTTGTGTCTTTAGATCAATGCCAGTCTCTTCAGTCATGGAACGTGTCAAGTATATATTTTAAAATAAAAGTATCTCTGAGCATGGGCAGACTGCCTCTCCTTGCTGTATAACCAATCACTGAACATCATTGTTTGATTATTGATGGAGGAGCTTCCAATGCAGTTCATAAGAATTATGTGCTGTCCAGTCAGTTACAATACACTTATGGCGACACTCTCCAGCCTTTTCTAGGTGGTATAAAGGACTCAGACGTGGTTTACCACCAGTTTCTTCTGAGGAGGTCACCCTGGAGTGGGACCACTTACCTGAGGGTTATACAGGCTGGCTCTGTTTGTGGGAGGCATCGTGGGGAATCAAACTGCCGAAGTTTTTCTAACTCACTGAGTTATCCAACCAACATACTTTCTATTATAGGTAGCACAATATTTGTTTACAGAGAGAGAGAGAGAAGCCACTGGCAATGGTGCGGCTAAAAAATATTGTAAATAAATTGCCAGCACTGTCTATGCGTGTCTTATTGTAGAACTCCAATGCTAAATCCTCGTGTAACCTTATTGGTTAGTGGGGGTTAACATATAAACAGCAGAAATTTGGGAGATGGAGACTGTAGTAGGAAGGTAGCTCACATTCCCATTTCCAGTGTCCTTATAGGACAGGTAGAAATACAACAGGTAAAGCTCCAGCAAGTATTAGTAGATAGTCAGGAATATGGGCGGCAGGTTGTGTGTTTGGATTTTTAATTTCTAGGCTGTCATGCCAGCACCTCAAGGCACTTTTTCTTCAGGAAAAACAAAAGCGGCAGACCTGAGAACAGCTGCATGTTTATTTCTCACAGGATGGCTACTTCAAAACCAAGGGTGGTTTCAGAGCTAGAAAGCTTGTCTTGCTTCCTTCACCTTTTATGGGGATGTCAACGCAAAAAAACACAAACGTTGGCACTCATGGATCTAGTGAAAGAAGGAGGAACAGGGTAGTGGTGATGGGTGGGTAGAATTGAACTGAAAGATTTGTGTGAGGTCCCTTCCAAGTGTACGTAACACTGAGATGCTACGACATCAGCTAGGTATCGATTGCTTGTTTGGGGAACATATGCCCTTCTCCTAGAGTGGGAAAATGTTACCATTCTGCACTACAACTCCCAAAATTCCCAGCCAGGGGAGAACCAGGTTCTGCAGGAGATTTCTGAACTGCAGCTTCACTCAGGACCAGCCAGAATCACCACTGACCTAAAAATTCACTTCCAAGTTAGGCAGAGGGGAAGCAATTCAGGTTTCTCAGAGGATCCTGGGTTTTGTGGAGGGGCTCAACTCCCCACCCAATCTCTTCCCCTTACTTTTTTTACAGGTAAAAATCCATCCCAAGCTGTATCCTCAGAATTTTCCTATTAGGAAAAGTTAATCTTTTGGCCACTGGCCAAGAGATTGAATGGGGGATTATGGGAGTAAGGATCCGAAATACAGTAGTAATTTGTATAAACTCCAAAGAACTTCCTCACATCTCTCATAAGCAAATTCTGGTTGAGACCCTGGAAGGCCACCTAGTGGCTGAGGGTGATATTGCACTCTTCAAGCACAGACACATTCAAGGGAGTTAAAAATAGTTAATGCGTTTGAAAAAACAATATAACCCTGAGGTGTACACCACTACTGTCCCCTTAAGATTCATGCCAAGTTTCTTATACCTAAGTTTCATGGGTCTGGACTGGAGCTATGACTTTGGCAGTCAGACATACAGATAAAGACAATCGTGTCATTTTTTTAAAAATTACTGTAGACTAGCAGAGGTATCTACCTGTGCACTGGTTGCGCCCTCACACAGCAGGACACTTTTCTTTCTCATGTTTCCAGCCTCTCTTTCTCTCCCCTCAGTGACTGGCTGATCCAGACAACGTTCTCTTTTCCTCTGTCATTTCTCAATCCCTCAAATCTTATTTCTTTCTCAGTGGCCTTTCTTTTCCTCTACTCAAGACCCATTTAGTCTTTCTTTCTGAACTCCCCTCCCCCAACTAACAGCTATAATAGGCATCCTTCAGTCTGAAGAGACTATGGTATTGTGCTCTGAATAGAGGTCTTGGAACAGCATCTAGTGTGGCTGAGAAGGCCAATTCGAGAGTGTCAGTCCCTTCCACACTGAAGACAAATACAATCTGTCCCCTGTCCAGCTACCTGATTTGGCTGGTCTCGGGACTGCCTCTTTGCCTCGGCCTGCTGGACAAGGGTCTCTTCAAATTGGGAGAGGCCATGATGCACCACCTGCCTCCAGGCTGAACGTTCAGATGTTAAGGTTTTCCATCTGTTGAGGCCCATTCCTAAGGCCTTCAGATCCCGCTTGCAGATGTCCTTGTATTGCAGCTGTGGTCTCCCTCTGGGGCGATTTCCCTGCACTAATTCTCCATAGAGGAGAGCTTTTGGAATCAGACCGTCAGCCATTCTCACGACATGCCCAAGCCAACGTAGACGTCGCTGTTTCAGTAATGTATATTTATATATACAGAATATGCATTTCACTACTAAGTAGCCATTCACACTACACTAACAGCTAGCAGGATCTTTTCTCTTTGTGTGTCAAATATTTCAATGGTTCATAGTGTTCTTCCTAATTGGAAAGATCTTCCACCTACTGTCTGCAGAGGGGTACAACAGATTAGCAGATCTGTTAAGCAAGGTAGTAGACAGATGTAAATTAACTACAATTAATTGCATTTGTCGAGAGGTAGCTGTATTAGTTTGTTTCAGGGAAAAAATGAAAAGAAAAGCATTGTGCCACCTTTAAGACTCACATATTTATTTCAGTATAAGCACTAATTAATTGAAATCTATTTCTTCACACAAAGAAACCTGATGTCGACCTCCTAAAAGTCCCCGCTAGAATGCACAATTAATTTCAGGTACTGAGATTTCATAGTTTTGGAATAGATTGATACAGAACTGGTGCCTGCACCAACTACACCTTTTAACCTTCCTCAAGTTAAGCAATGGCTATGCTGGCTGCGAATGATGAGAGTTGTAGTCCAACACACCTGGAAGCTGCCAAGGTTTTATGCTTATGCTGTTTTTAAGACAGCTGGCGGCCTGAATGTCCACATCTGAAACACACAGTCAGCCCAGCCCAAACAGCAAAACACAATTATTTGTGTGAGATAGCGCTGAAGACGGTGCTGAGCGGAAGAAGAATAGAAAAACAAAACGGGTTAGTCTCAGTGGGTAGACTGACACACATAGACAAACACAAACATGAAAAACTGGCCCTGCTCCAGTGTGTCTTAACCGCAGCCTGACAGCAAACGCAGGGCTGAAAATCCAATTTTCTACATATGGAAGAGCCATCTTATACAGTCTGAGCCAACCATGCATTAAATTGCCTTGTTAGCATCATTTATCTCCCTGCAAGGAAGAACTTTTCCCCTTTCTGCTGTATTAATTATGGCCAGGTTCCTGCTTTGCCATGAAGCTGAATGGATCACCTTGGTCCAGTCACTTCTCTCAGCCTGACCGACAGACACTACAGGGTTGTTGTGAAGATTAAAACAGGGACCATTGTATGGCCTACTTCGAAGTTTTTTGGGGGGGGAAGCCAGAAAAAGCAAAACAAAACACATATGCTGTTAAAAGCATGGATTTAGGGTCTATTAAGAAATAATCCTGCAATGGGCATGTGATTAGTTGTTTATTACTCATTATAGCTGCATAGCTCAGTGAGTCAGGGAATAATCCTGCAATGGGCATGTGATTAGTTATTTATTAGCTGCATAGCTCATTGAGTTAGGGATTTGGCTGCAGTAGCCAAAGGTTGGCACCCCTCACTGTGTCATCCAGTTTGGCTGCAGAGCCAGAGGTTGGCAGTTTTATCCCTCACTGTGCCATCCAAGAGAACAGCCAGCCTCTACAGCCCTGGGTAAACTGCACAGTCCCAAGGATCTACAGGAAAGGAAACCTTTCCTGTAGACCCTTGAACCACTTCTACCCTTATGAACCACTTCTACCCCTGTGGGATAGGTCGAGCTGAAAGTCACTGACTATACCCAAAGTCAAATCCCATATTTTGCTGCTCATCAGGACTAAAATCTGTATCTCCCATGTCCTAGTCCAGCATCCTAACTACTACACCACTTAGCCATCTATTCCCCAGAGTGTCTTACTATGAACTTCACCTCATGCTCATTTTTTGGACATGCTTTGAACTCCAGTAGCGAGTCTGTTTCTCCATCTGCACTATGCCTGATGCACCTTTGACTTTGCCTACAGAGATTCTGATGCTCTTTTAAAGTTTTAGACTGGGCATCCTATAGTCTCGAGAGACTATGGTAACGTGCTCTGAATGGAGGTCTTGGGACAGCATCTAGTGTGGCTGAGAAGGCCAATTCGAGAGTGCCAGTCCCTTCCACACTGAAGACAATCTGTCCCCGGTCCAGCTCCCTGATTTGGCTGGTTTCGGGACTGCCTCTTTGCCTCGGCCTGCTGAACAAGGGTCTCTTCAAATTGGCTGAACACTCAGATGTCAAGGTTTCCCATTTGTTGAGGTCCGTTCCTAAGGCCTTCAGATCCCGCTTGCAGATATCCTTGTATTGCAGATATGGTCTCCCTCTGGGACGATTTCCCTGCACTAATTCTCCATACAGGAGATCTTTTGGAATCGGCTTCAGGAGATAACCTCGAGGCAAAATCCGGAGCAGGAGTCCCGGAGGCACTTTGTGTCACTCTGCCAACTCCTGCGACGTTGCTGGAACCAGTTGTATTGGCTCTTGCCTCTCCACTGGACCATTTCAGTGACGTGGAGAGGGGGGATTTGCTGCTTGGGTAACAGCCTATCCTCGATATTATTTTACCCAGGCTTCGTGCTCTGGAGAGGACACTCCAGCTTCGCATACAGCGTCGAAACAACACGGGAAGTAGCAGTTACCGGTTATAAGTCT